CTCTTGCTCCAACAGTATTTGGACGAACAGACCCGGGGACTCCTTCTCTTCCAGACTCCCACTGCCCTCCGACCTCCTCTCCACTTGCAATCTCCAAGACCACCTCCTCGGCCACCCCGTTTCTGGGACCAGCGACCACCGTTTCTGCGGTTAGCTCCTTCTTGCCGACCAACATGAGCTCCCAGGTTCACCAGAATCATTTCACCGAGGTGGAGTTAGCCGTCAACCGCTTGGTCAATTTGCATCTGTGGGAATCCTACACCTACCTCTCTCTGGGCTTCTATTTCGACCGCGATGATGTGGCTCTGGAAGGCGTGGGCCACTCTTCTGCGAACTGGCGCAGAAGCGCGAGGGCTCCGAGCGTCTCTTGGAGATGCAAAACCAGTGTGGCGGCCGCGGCCTCTTCCAGGATATCCAGAAGCCCCCTCAAGATGAGTGGGGTAAAACCCTGGATGCCATGGAAGCCGCCATGACCTTGGAAAAGAGCCTGAACCAGGCCTTTCTGGACCTTCACCTTGGGATCCACAGATCCCCATCTCTGACTTCCTGGAGAATCACTTCCTACATGAGGAAGTGAAACTCATCAAGAAGATGGGTGACCACCTGACCAACCTTCGCAGGCTGGCCGGGCCCGAGCCTGGGCTGGACAAGTATCTCTTCGAAAGGCTCACCCTCAAGCACGACTAGGAGCCCAGCGGCCTTTGAGAGGCCCCTCTCAAAGTATCAGGGCTTTTTCTGCCTGAGCCTCCCCTTCCAGCCACTAGGCAGCTTTTTAACTGCCCTGGACCAAATAAAAATAAAGATTTTTTCAGGAAAAAAAAAAAAAGAATTTTGGAACCGGCAGGGCTAGGTGGCTTCAGCCTGTAATCCCAGCACTTTGGGAGGCCAAGACAAGTGGATTGCCTGAGCCCACGGGTTCTAGACCCACCTGGGCAACTTGGCAAGACCACATCTCTACAATAAATCAAAAATCAGCCAGGCGTGGTAGCGCACGCCTGTAGTTCCAGTTGCTTGGAAGGCTGAGGTGGAAGGATCACCGGGGCCTAGAAGTCGAGGCTCGGTGGCTGGGAGCGTGCCACTGCACTATAGTCTGTGTGACAGAGTGAGACTCCAACTCAAAGAAAAGAAAAAAAAGAATTTTGGAACCTACAAAATCCAAAAGAACTTCCCAAAATACAACACTGTTACAATACATAAGAGAATCTGATAAAACAGTCAGATATGTTATCAATCACCAAAAGTCAATAGTTTTTTCTATACCTACAATATTGTTAGAAATAAAAATGGAAAGCTTATCTAAATCAAATTATGAACAAAATACATGCATACATATATACGTAAAATACCTAGAAATAAATTTAGGGTCAACACACAATCTATATAAGAGAATATTTATATAGAAAGAGTTTAGTAAATCTTAAGTACTTCCAAATAGGACCTCATAACCCTAATAGGAATTTTTGAAAACAGGAAATAAATTTTCAAAAGTCCTGTGGAAAAATGAATGGCTATAAATAGCCAAAAATTTTTTTGAAAAAGAACCACACTGTTTTACCAGAAAGTAAAGCTTACTATAAAATTATCATCATCAAAATAGTATGGAATTGAAACAGAAATAAAGAACACTGTGAAACAAAAGAAAGTCTAGAAATAAATCCAGATACATGTGGGAATTCAATATAAGATAAAGTAGGCTTTTTAATTCCGTGGAAAAAAGATGCCTTCTTTAACAAACAGCACTGCCATAACTGACTATGCAACCATAAAAAAAATCCACTTAAAGCTGTATAAAAACTTAATTCCACATGGGCTAAAGATTTAAAATTTCCAAGAACTATATTAAAACAAAATATGCTATACTAGACCCAAACTACCTTCTTAGACATTAGAGAAAAAAAAAAGGAAAATGTTCAATGGTTTAAAAAAATCAGACTGTATCAATTAAATAACAAAAATAATTACTTGAACTTATTGTAATAGCGTTGAGATAATGCAAAGAACATTGAACTAAGTTGTCATCATCAACTTGCTATGACTTAGGTCAAGACACTTAATTTATCTGTACACAAATTTCCTCATCTATAAAATTAAAATGATAATATCAACCTTAAAATTTGTTGTGAAGCTTAAACATAATTTACTAATATTATCTGACAGAGTACTTGATGCACAACAGATGATCAAGTATGATAAAAATTACTGAGAGTGTTTTAAGAGCTATATACACACAAGGTATCATTACCATACCTCTAGAGCATCTTTCTTCCCTAGCGATCCTTAAGGTCTAAGCACAAAATGTTCACACCTTAGTAGTTACATCAATCGAGGGACACAGGAGTTCCCTGAACTCCAGACTCACAAATGAAAACCAACCTGCTGGTCTCAAACTTAAGATAAAAAAAACCAAACTTCCCCCAAACCCGATTCTCCTACATTTTTCCACATCTCAGGAAATGGCAACTCCATGCTTCTACATGCTGTAGCCAAAAACCTTGGAGTTCTCTTTGTCTTCTCCCATCCCCACATCAATTCCATCAGAATATCATGTCCAATCCACCCTCAAAACAGGTAAGAGTCCAACCCCTCTCACCAACTCCACTGTTCCTCCCGTGGTGCAAGAAGTCACCACTCTCAGAACTCACTTCAATGTACAAGCTGCCTCTTCATTGGCCTCCTTGCTTCCCTCAAACCCGCTTCAGTATGTTTTCCACAGACCAGCTCAAATGAGCCTTTAAAAATATAAGTCATATCAGGTCATTTACTCCTCCTCTCCCTTCAGGTTTCTGGTCAACTGTGACGTTAACAGTGACTTCTTCCCTGACCTGTATATTTTTTAAGTCCCCACTCTGCCTGCGTACCCTTGTCTTCTTTAACCTATTTTATCATGGACCATGCCACTTTTGGAAATATGGCATGCTATTTATATGTTTATCTATTAATTGTCTATTTCTCCTCAACAGATACAATACATATAATTCCTTAGGGGCAAGACACTGTGTTTGGTTCACTGCTATATTTCCAACACCCAGAAGAGTGACTTAAATATAAGACTACATTCAGTAAAGAACTGTGAAAATTCTTAGGTAATCTTTTTAGAATGGTGCTATTTTTTTTCCAAATTATTGCTTTATGTTAGCTAAGTTCATCCAAAGTCAAAAAATAAATTAGGGTGTGATTACTGATTTACTAAATGACATGATAAAAGTTATCCCATAAAATATCTTCATAAAACAGTTCCTCAAAGTAAATGTAAAGCGAAGTAAAATTTACATAAATCAATTGAGTTTACTCTGCAAAATATTTTGGTGCTTTTTGTTCCAGAACAATAGCTTTATAGCATAGGTGAACTAAAAGCTACCAGGAAGTGGTTCACCATTCATTTAAATTTGGTTCTTTTCATAGTTCCCCTTCATCTATAAACTTCCTTTTTTTTTTTTTTTTTTTTTTTTTTTTTAAGAACTGATTGACGGTTCAATTAATGTTTCATTCCGGGCTTTAAATTATACTTCTGATCAAGTCTCCCACTAATATACAACTTTCTAAGAATACATAAGGAAAATGTACATGCATTCAAATCCAACTTTGCTTTTCATTTATTGGCAATAAATGAGCATAAAATGAGCACTTGAAGTGAAGTACTTGCAAAACAGCACCTTCTCTCTAATTTTAGCATATACGAATAAAATAGATAATACGAGATAAACTTGTTGCTTACATTCAACAAGGTAGACATTTCCAATAATCAAATCGCGAATGCAAAATGGGTATGCTTTCCATACACCTTCACTCCCCAAACCAAAAATGATGTCATTTTAACTGTCCAAATGTCATTTCTTATGTAACAGCATGCGTCATTTATTAAATGAAGTCAAAATCTGTATGTAAATGCATGGATACATACGTACTAATTGCACGGAATACTGATCCCATACAAATTCGTTCGGCAACTTTAATAATATACTGATATACAAGACCCTCTTCCCTAGAAACCACTTATCATGTACCATCACCAAAACACACACACACACACACACACACACACAATATTTTTTGAATTCTTGTTTACGGTGAAAACCAATGGGAAAATCTGGTGTAACGCCATGTACTTTATTCACCGCAATGGCCTGAATAAAAAAAACAGGTGTTCTGCTTATAAAGAGTACTACCTAGGGTTCTGCTAACCAACCTACAAGGTTTGCAACCCAGTCGGCTAATTATGACTCAGAGACTGCCGGTAGCATGGCAACCGCCAGCCATAGCAACAGGCAGCCATGACAACAGCCGGCGACGACATCAGACAGCCATGACAACAAAGCAAGATGCGCAGGTTAGTGCCGAATTTTCCAGCCATACTCAGTAGCGAGGGCTGTACAGCACAACAAAGACGGAGGTGGGCAAATTCTGGGCGTCCAGGAACGAGAGAAAGAGGACGTTAGGAACACAGTCGTCCCGCCCCGCCCACTCCCGAGTCGTCCCTGCTCGCCCCGCAGGACCCCTGGGAACAGCAAAGGAGCCAGGCACGCACCGATGAGCAAAGAGCAAAGAGGGCAGAAACGGAACAAAAAGGCTCCGAGGCGATGAACGGAAACGGTCGCCTGCGCCGGCGGAGGACGACAGGAAAGGACGAGCGGAGCGCCCGAGGATCCCGACAGCACTCACCAGGGTCTCTGCAGCCGAGGGCAGGATCGGCGATTACCAGAAGCGAAAGAAGGCAGACGAGCAAGCCGCGCCCGGCCGCCCTCAGCCCGCCGCCCGCGGCCATGGCGCTCCGCGAAGATGGCGCGCGGCTGCCGGGGGCCGCGGGCCTGAAGCGGGCTGCAGAAGGGCTCGCGCCGCTGCGCAGCGACGCCAGGGCCTCCAGCAGCGGCGAGGGGAGACAGACTGCAGAATCGCAGCCGCAGTGGGTCCGTGCGCCAACCTTACGTCACTGCCGCTGCTGCACGTAGGGAGCCGTGAGTGGCCGCTGCCGGCCCCACCCTTAGAGCGCCGCGCGGCCGGGGGCGGGGCCGGGAGTGGGACACGGCAGTATGGGCGGGGCCGAGGGCCTACGCCGCAGCGCGTGTGGGCGGGGCCGAGGGCGGAGCGCCGCCCTGTGGCGTCTGTTCTCCGCTTCGGGAGGCTTCTGCGCCTCGGTGCGACGTTTGAGAGGTTGGAATCGTCGCCACGCGAAATCTAAGAAATGTAGTCAAGCTATGTACTGCCAAAGCCTCAGTAACCTTTCCGAAGAACGTCACAATGCTTATTCAGCTTTATGTGTTCAGCCCCTAGCCTAGCGCCTGGCACGTGATTGTGCAATTACTGTTTTCCTAAATATAGAAACGATTCAGGCAGAACCTAGCATGGAAATTAATCGTATAGTTTCAGAGCTCAGAACCTTTATGTAGTTCCTTGCATGTGGAGGATTTAGGAATATACGAAATGTCAGAAGGAGAAGATATTGCCCGAATAAAGAACCAGCCATGGAAATAACTCCCTGCATTTGAAGTTCTGACAGTCCTGTGTTTCATTCATTCATTCATCATTCAACAATGCCTAATATGCGCCAGTCACTGTTTTAGACTTGAAGGATACAGGCAAGGTCCCTGTACTCCTGAAGCTTACACTGAAGTACTATAGGACAAGTAACATAAAATTAAACAACAAAAATTATAGTGATAAGTGCACTGATGACAATGTAACAGGGTGATAACAATAGAGACTGGGAGGCAACTTCAGGGAATCATGTGCCATTTGCTAGGAAAATGACTTTGAAGCTTAAAACCTGAAAGATGAAAAAGAACCAAGCCGGATGCGGTGGTTCACACCTGTAATCCCAGCACTTTGGGTGGCCGAGGTGAAAGTTACCTGAGCCCAAGGCTTCGAGACCAGCCTAGGCAATATGGCTAAACCTTGCCTGAGCCCAGCAGGTCAAGGCTGCGGTGGCCGTGAGCGTGCCACTGTACTCCAGCCTGGGCAACAGAGTGAGACTCTGACTCAAAAAAAGAAAAAGAAAAAGAACCAGCCCTATAAAGAAGAAGGAACTAGACTTCACAGCCTGGGGAACAGTAATTGCAAAAGCCCTATCTTTGCGTTTTGAGAAACAGTCATTCAGTCAGATCCCACAGGTCAAGGGCTCAGTTCCACAAACTGTCCCTACTTCAAACATCAATCATAAGTCCCAGGTTGTGACTTGTGCTTCTGATCAGCTGGCTGTAAATCAGGGTTGTCATGACCCCCCCCCCCTTTACTTTGATAATTTGCTAGGATGGCTGAAAGAACTCAAGAAAACATTTTATTTACATTCACCAGTTTACTGTATTGAGCAACTACTGCTACCTAGCACTATTCTATGTGATGAGAATACAGCAGTAAATAAAACAAAATTTGGAGACAGGAGAGGCAAACAAGGCCAGTTTGACTGAAACAAAGTAAGGTAGGGGAAAAGTGGATCAAGAGGCAGCAGAACAGTGGGACCAAGCAGGATTGAAATAAATAAAGAATTCTGCTCTCAACATGTTTGGTTTGAGGTGACTGTTAGACATCCAAGTAGACATGTCAAATAGACAGTTGGATATACTGTACAAGTCTGAAGTTCAAAGCTAAGGGAAATTTGGCAGTTACATTGTAAACATGAAGAAAATATTTAATGCCATAATGGTATGGTTTGAATGTATCCCCCTAAATTGATATGTTGAAACTTAATCCCCAATCCAACAATGTTGAGACATGGGACCATCAAGAGATGATTAGGTCATGACTGGATGAGTGCTGTTATCACAGAAGTGGGTTAGTTATTGGGAGGTGAGATCCAAATAAAAGGGATGAATTGAGCCCCTTTCTCTCTCACCTTACACTGTGGGTTGATTTGCAAGGAGGTCCTCACTAGATGTGAGCCCCTGAACTTTGGACTTCCCAGATTCCAGAACTGTAAGAAATAAATCTCTATTCTTTATAAATTACCCAGTCTCCAGTATTCTGTTATAGCAACACAAAACAAACTCTAAGACTCATGGGAAGACATATAATAACATTATGAGAGAATTCAGATATGGCAAAGAAGAAGGCCCAGGACCAAACTATGGGAACACTAGCATTTGAACCTTCAGTAAAAGATCTCAGAAAGAAACTGAAAAGTAACCTCTAGTGAAGAAGGAGAAAAATCAAGAGAACGTTGATATGACAGTTGAGAAAAAGAAGGTATGGTCAGCAGTATCCACTGTTACTGAAAGGTTGAAGCAAAAAGTCACCCTTGGATTTGTCATGTAGAAGTTACTAATTACCTTAACAAGAGGATTTCTGTTATTTGAGATCCCACCATGCACCTTGTACAGTTCTAGACAGTCATGAACAAAACATACAACTTTGTACTAATTTACATTCTAGTAGGAGACATAGCCAACAAATAATATTTTGGATAAATAAGTGCTTTGAAGAAGTAAGCAGGGTAATATGATGGGTAGCACTATATAATAAACAGTATAATCCAGAAAGTTTCTCTGAGAAGCTACCATTTGAGCTGAGCTCTAAATGGTTGGACACTTTAAAAGAAAAAAACAGCTTTCTTTTTTCTACACTCACATTCACAACACAGAACACTTCTGTGACCATGTGGGGGTATTCCCCCCCTACACCAAACAACTCTTCAAAGCACACCAAGTAGTTGTCCTATCAACTCAATTTTGACACTATCTGCCTGGAAATAGTGTCAGATCCCACAGGTTAAGGGCTCAGTTCCATAAAACTACCCCTACTTCAGAGTTTCAGACATCAATTACAAGTCCCAGGTTGTGACCTGTTCTTCTGACTGACTAGCTATAAGTCAGAGTTTTTATGACCTCCCCCATCCCGCCACTTGAGTTTGATCATTTGCTAAGATGGCTCACAGAACTCAGGAAAAGACTTTATTTATATTTACCAATTTATTATAAATGATAAAGAACACACATGAACCAGGCGTGGTGGCTTGTACCTGTAGTCCCAGCACTTTGGGAAGTAGAAGTGAGAGGACTACCCAGGGGTTCGAGACAAGCCTGGGCAACTTGTCTCTACAATATATTAATAAATTAGTCGGGCATGGTTGCACATACCTGTGTAGTTCCAGCTACTTGAAAGGCTGAGGCAGAAGGATCACCTAAGACCTGCAGGTTGAAGCTGCAGTGACCGTGAGACTCCAATTGGGTGATAGAGTGAGACTCCAACTCAAAAAGAGAAATGGGTTCTGATTCAAACTATAAGATATATAAAGTAAATGACATTTATAAGACAACTGGAAATGTATTTTATATATTTTTAGAAACAGAGTCTTGCTCTATTGCCCAGGTTGGAGTGTGGTGGTGCTATAATGGCTCACTACAGCCTCAGTCTCCCAGGCTCAAGCAATCCTTCTACTTCAGGCTCCTGAATTGCTGGAACTACAGACATGCACCACCAAGCCCAGCTAATTAAAAAGGAAAAAGGTTTATAAAGACAGGCTTTCATTACGTTGCCCAGGCTGGTCTCAAATTCCTGACCTCAAGTGATCCTCCTGCCTTGGACTCCCAAAGCTCTGGGATTACCAGCATGAGCAATGATGTCAGTCTGACTATTGGAAATTTAAAAACTAACTAGTTAAATGATGAGATTAAAAAACTGCTTTTTAGGCTAAGATGGCTAACCTAAACCTAAATGTTAGGTTCTGATTAGTGTATGGTCAGACCCTCCATATCATTGGGTTTGGCATTCATGGAGTCAACTAACTATGGATTAAAAATATTCTTTTTTAATGGATGGTTGTACCCATGCTGAACATGCATAGACTTTTTCTTGTTGTGATTTCTTTCAAAATACAGTATAACAACTGTTTACATTGTGTTAAGTATTATAAGTAATCTAGAGATGATTTAAAGTATAAAGGAGGATGTGCAAAGGTTATATGAAAATACTACACCATTTTATATAAGGAACTTGAGCATCTGTAGAACTTGGTATGCTTGAGGGGTCCTGAAACTAATCCCCATGGATACAAAGGAACAACTCTAAAATGATTATGTTTTTTGGGGAATCCTTTTAGAAATATACTAAAATAAAGATAAAATTATGTCTGGAACCTGCTTTTATCTTTTATTGTCCCAGGAGGGATATGCGGTCCTTTATTTCAGGCAGCCTTATAACCAAACTAAATTTCAAGTAAAGTCAAGAACTTCTACCAAAAAGAGGGAGATCTGACCTGAGAAAAGACTCATCAGGGCAGAAAAGGCAAGACATGGAAGTGGAGAGCTCAAAAGACTCAAGTGAATACTGTACATTAATTCCAAGAATTGCTCATTCCTTACCAAAATGATCCATCTCCAGATCCCACTACTGACACCATTATGTCAAGCTAAATAACAGAGGGCCTCAAAAAAAAAAAAAGAGCCTCCCTAAAAGAAAGTAATATTTATTCAGGAATAGGGCATTGCAATGGGAATACATGTGCCATAGTAAACTATGTGTGTATTCAAGGAGGTAAGGAAGACAAAAGTTTTTAAAGGAAACATGAAGAGGTTTACATAATTGATTTGACACAGGTATCCTTGGTTACAAGGATCATAACAAGCTCGATGCCAGTCAACAGTTGGACAGGTAGTTGCTAAGCATATGTCATCACAGAGTTTTTTTTGGTGTAAGGTCATAACAATTTTTGTGCAAGGTTGCAGTTTTCGCAGAGTTTTTTGTGATAGTTATTATTATCAGGCATTTATGCATGAGAATCCTTCTTTTTGTGACTTTCCCTGGCTCTATTTGTTTTTTGTATTTTTAACATGAGTGACTCCATTTTGATTCTGACAACTTTCCCCATAAGAATATAGGGAGAAATAATAGGTGAGGGAAAGTAAATGGGGAGTATAGATTAAAAAAAAACATTGAACGTGTGTTGCTACTTTAGGGTATCCAATGGTATATGGGAGTTCCTTATGCTATTTGGAATACTTTTTTATATAGTATATTTACTTTTTTCCATAACATTTTTTTCAAAACCAAAACTAAAAAATTCTCTGAGCTTTCACTGACTTGATCTGCAAGAGTTTGTAAAATTTCAGTTTACAAAATTGTAGAGACAATGAAATCAGATAAGTTTTAAAGCATCAGGCAAAGCACACTGCAGCTGCTCAATAAGTAAGAGTTTTCTTCTCACTCCTCATTTTCATCTTCATGAATTAACTGTGGAGAACAAGAAACCATCTGTATAAAAAGCGTTGAAATTTTGAAAGGTAACACTAATTAACTATTATTTAATAATACCAAGAGAACATATAAAGTCATTAACTGACATTTAGGACTCACTTGAAAAACTGGTGAAGAAAACTCCTGACATTCTACCTTATTCCAGACAATGATTTTCAAGCTTTAGTTTGCACAGGAATCAATTGAGGTGCTTGTTAAAATTTCAGATTCAGCCAGGCTCGGTAGCTCATCCTGTAATCCCACGCCTTTGGGAGGCTGAGGTGAGTGGATTGCCTGAGCCCGCGGGTTCGAGACCCACCTGGGCAGGCGAGACCTCATCTCTACAATAAATCAAAAAATTAGCCAGGCATGGTAGTGCACGCCTGTAATTCCAGCTACTTGGAAGGCTGAGGCAGAAGGATCGCCGGAGCCCAGCAGGTCGAGGCTGCGGTGGCTGGGAGCCGCCACTGCACTCCAGTCTGGGTGACAGAGTGAGACTCCAACTCAAAAAAAAAAAAAAATTCAGATTCCTGGGCTCTCCCCACAATAGTTCTAATTCAGAAGGTCTGGAGTAGGACCCAGGAATTTGAGAAGTATCCCAAATAATTATGGTGTAGGTAGTCTTTGAAATACATTTGGAAACACTGCTTTTAAGGCCTCAAGTGAGTGCTCCCTAGATAGCATTTGTAAACCAAAAATAATCCTTAGAGGAATGAGTTTGTGCTAGAAACACTGTGAGTCTCCTGGGGAAGTTTAAAAAGCACAAACCCTTAGGATTCTGTAATCATGGGAGAAAAAGAACACAGATTCCTCTATCCTGACAAACAATCCCAATTGCCCATGAATGTCATCAACAATATCTGTAATGTCTAATTTATTTGTACTCAAAAGAGGAAATTAGGAGATTACCCCTAAACCTAGTCACTGGGGCTTGTGAAAGCCACCCCTGAAAAGGCTTCCTAAATTGTGATTTTTCCTCAAGAGCCAAGCTATGACCCTAAGGTGTAAACCCATCACTTCCCACCCCCGATACCACCACCATTGATCAGCTATCTCTACTATGTCCCCTCAACCGTCCCTGTCCGCAAAGATGGAATATCATGGAACTAAACAAAATAGGGTACTGTGGTGACATCTAGGATGGAATTATTTACTTCTCAGGAATCTACCTACTCTGTTCAAGATGGTGGAAGATTCAGTTTGGGGAAAGGAGCTGTAGTTCACAGATTCTGTCTAAACAGCATACATTTAGACATATGGCATATGTTCAAGTGTGCCTTGTGGTTTTGCTACCACATCCTTAAATGGAAACTTTTTTTTCAAGGTACAGGAAAGAGATGTTGTTGCACTAACTTGAATAGAAAAAGTTCTAATCTCCTATAAGATTTGTTTGGGGCATTAAGTGGCCTGGTTTAAAAAAAAAAAAAATTGTAATTCAACCCTGGAAATAGTAGAGAAAAGCAGAGTGGACAATGCCTTAAGCTTTCCAGTAGCTTTCACTTTAAATCATGTTGGAAGCATCTCTACTAAACATGTACTCAACAAAGTCTTATATGACAATGTATCTTGGTCTAATGACTAAAAAATTTAAGAATTCAATTTTTATGTCACTTACCTCCACCTACCTCCTTTTAAGTCCTTCAAAAGATTCTCAATGCTAAGAGGAAAAAAAAATCAAAACTCCTTATACAGTAACCTGCTATATTAGCATGCTGCCCCACCCTAACTTTGAGCAATCCCATTGGCCTGGCCTCTCTTCAATAGACCAAGCTCCTTGCTCCATCTGCTGCCAAAGTTAATCACACACACACTAACACACCACCCTATAACTGTAATGACTTTTCTCTATCCATTTACCTGTTGTCTCTCCCTTGGGGAAATCTTGCCTGGCAAATCTAAATCAAAAGTTTTCATAGGACTGTCTACCCATCTTTCCTAGTGTAGGAGGAAATAAAAACTTCTTCTACCCTCTTTAGAGTCAGTGGCTGGGACCTATGAATTAAACTGACAAAAGACAGATTAACAGGAAAAAGGGTTTATTTTGCATGCATAACAAGGCTTCACAGAAAAGAAGTGAAAACCCAAAAAAATGGTTAGGTCTGGGAGCATATATCATTTTAACAAAGGATGATACACTGTGGAAAAATGACTAGACAAAGGAAAGGAGTTTGGGCTTCTCTAGGGAGTAACCTGTGAGAAGGTAAATATATGGAGAAAACTAACGAAAGAGAAGGATTATTTTAGAGTAATGCTTATGTGAGTCAAATCAGTGCCTTTTACAGAACTAAGATTTGCCTACTCCCCCCGGTCTAGGAAATACAAACATTTACAAATAGAAAAAAATGTATTACAATTTTTTTCATAAATGGAAATTTATGTTACCTTTACAAAGCACTGCTTTTGGACAAAAAGGAAGAGAGCTTCTCCTGAGTCTGGGTTTAATTGCCTTCAGCTCAAACAGTCCTTATACCCAAGTAGCATATTTTGAGGTGGCATTTTCTGATGCCCCCTACTAGCAATTATCATTGCTCCAACTTTACACTTTGTTGTGTCTATCTCCTTTATTAATCTGCAAGCAACTTGAGGGAAGAAACTGCACCTCGTTTTGCTCACCTCTGTGCCTAGCCTTGTTCACAACATGGTAAATGTTCAATGATTTGTAAGATGGCTAAATAGATATATTGGACCTCTGCTTTCTCCTTTTTCTCCCCCTAACCCTGTTACTACCAAGAAGACAGCAGTTCTCAGACCCCCAAGATTGTATACTAAATCCACACTTTATTGGGCCCTACTTCTATCTCTGGAGGCGGGTCCTCACCAGAACCCTAGTTTTGTGTAGTAAACCGAGGAGCGGAGTGCAGACCACCCAACTAGCCATCCTTCCCTTACAAGGCTGGAGGGATCGGAGAAGAGAAAAGGGTGTGCTTGAACTTGACCCCCAAAGACACCACACGTGCCTAGCAAAGCGGTCGCTACTCGCGCTCCCTCCTCCTCAAAGAACGTGGATGCAGCCGGATAAATGATGCGGGCTTCGGCTCGGAGCTTCCGGCCGGCCCAGACGCGAACGCAAGGGCTGGCGTCGGGCACTGTCCCCGGACGGGACGCGGGCGACAACACTCGGAGACCACCACCCGCGAAGGAGCGGCCCGAGGAGGAGGGGCCCGGCCCGACCGCCCGGCCCCGGCGCGCCCCCCGCGCCCCCGCGCGAGCGCGAGCGCCGGCGGAAGTGCTGCGTCGCGCACTTCCGGGTGTTGTCTGGCCGCTGCCGTGCGTCTCGGGTCTCCCGGCCGCCGCCGCCGCCGCCGCCGCCGCCTCGGGTCGTGGAGCCAGGAGCGACGTCACAGCCATGGCCGGCATCAAAGGTGGGCCTGGGGCGCAGGGTGCAGGAGAGCTGAGGGGCCGCGCGTCCCCTACACGTCGCCTCCCGGGCCGGGCGCGCGCGGGGTCCCTGCGCGTCGCTCCTCGGAGCGGAGGTGGGCGCGGCGTCCTCGGGGAAAGGACGCCCGCGCCTCCGCCCCGGCGACCCCACTCTCGGCCTGTGTCGGCAGCGTCTCTCCCACTCATCGCCGCTCGGACAAAACACGAAGGGGGCCGCGGTCAGTGAGGGGTCCCGCCGCGCCTCGGGTCATTAGATGCGTTTGCAGGAGTTTGCATCCTAGAGAGGGGCGAGCAGAGTGATTTAGGGAGCCGGAGATGCTGCCAGTGATGGAAAATCAGAGTCCTTTCCCACAAGCACAAGTGAGATCTTGGGATGATGCTGTGCGCGGCGAGGAGTTTAGGAAGGCGTCTTTCTGAAACCCGGGCGGGCGAGCCACTGACTCCCCCGACTCCCGGCTCGGACCATGCACGCTCCTGACACGGTTGCATCTGCACCTGCGGTGTTGGCACGATAGGGTAGACCTGCAGGCGACCCCAAAGTGCTCCAGGCTCTCTTCCTTCTCAGCATTTGCACGTCGAGGCTTTTTTATATTTCAGAGTCTTTCTTTCTCTCTTTTTTTTTAATAGTGCACAGCTTAATGAGAAATTGTTTAGTCATATATCTTCTTTAGGAATAAGGAATGTCGCAGTCGTTCCAACTGTTGAGTAGTTTTGTTGTCAGTATGATCAGAAGCAAAGTTTTCAACTACTTCTTAACATCGAATTACAGTGATTTCTTGACCTGCCGCTTTGTAGAAGGAGGCAGGCAAGCAGGAAGCAGGAACAACTTTGATAGCAGTGGTGGTTTTCTGTGTGTTTTTCCTGCTTCAAGGACTTTAGTTGCGCTTCTTTCCCAGAGTCACATTTTTACTGTTTCTTGTTTATCTTCAATGTCTGAAAACAGTTCATTTCCTAAATGAAACCTTATCATCAGAGCAACTGGGATACCTTGTATAATAAGCTTTTAAAAATCCTTATGCAAAAGGCAGTTATTGTGAAATGCTGTGGTTTTTAGGATATTGCTGTTTCGTTCTTCCTCATTTCCTTGGAGTCATTTAATGTAGGAGTCTCTCTCAAGAATACAGCTTTGTAAACCAAGGGAAATATTGTGTAGTAAACAGATGAAAGTGTCTTAGCTGGAATTAGACTATTGGTTTCAACAGGATTTTCTGGTTGATATGATTGTTTATCAGGATGTTTCTCTTGGCCTATCTTTATATTAGAAAGGAGGGTTGATATAATTGGAAACCATTATGTATTTCTTGAGTCATTTGCCTATTACTTTGTGATACATTGTATTTTCTGATAATGTCCAGCTTAAGGAACTGGTCCCTCCTCTTACTCTAATTTCTTTGTAATCACAGAACCAGTATTTTGTCTCTAGAGTTTTAGTAGATAATTGGGCTGTTCCATTCCTAGCCCAGAGACTTTGGGAGTAGAAACCAGACTTATCTAAATTTTGTCTTACAAATGTTGCATCACTTAATTACTGTGTAAATTTTTGCCCTGTTGATGTGTCATTTAAGATAACAGTTTATATACAGATATAAAAAAGATAAAATTTGTATGTAAATCAGCCTAGTTGCTGATTTCATAAAAATGAAGAAAAAAGTTTTGAGAACATATTTAAACAGTTTAACTTCATTGGCTACTTTATCTGGTATGACTGGCAGATAAGATGTCCCATAAAATTGTATTTTGAACATTTAAAAAATATTTGGTATTGAATGGAATGGAAATATCTCAAAATGTCTTGATTTCCCAAACAATTCCAAGGGCCTTACTTTTTCATTATACAGTAGCATTTAAGAGGAATTGGACTCCAAGGTATAAATAAATACATTTATTTTATTCCAGTATTAATATTCACAGCAGTTATAATAAAACAGTCGTGGCTTATGTTGTAAAAATTGTTTATCTCATTTTAGTCCCTTGATTTTTTTTTTTTTTGAGTTGGAGTCTCACTCTGTCGCTCAGACTGGAGTGCAATGGCCGCTCCCGGCCACCACAGCCTCGCCTGCTGGGCTCCAGCGATCCTTCCACCTCAGCCTTCCGAGTAGCTGGAACTATAGGCGCGCGCTACCATGCCCAGCTAATTTTTTGATTTATTGTAGAGATGAGGTCTCACCAAGTTGCCCAGGCGGGTCTTGAATCCGCGGGCTCAGGCAATCCACTCACCTCAGCCTCCCAAAGGCACAGGATTACAGACGGAGCCACCGAGCCTGGCTTGATTTTTTTTTTTTAGGAAATCCTTTTTCATTCACTCTTTAAGGGTGTCCTCAAAGAATTTAGACTTCTTTTTTTAGTAAGAACATAGATTGTTCTGTGTCATAGAGCTACCCTCAGAGGAGTCCTGCGTCTTGCTGAGATTACTGTAAACATGCTTTTTGAGATTACTCTGCCTGATTTAATTTTTTTCAGTTTCCTCCCTCCTGCCAAAGGGCAGTTCTTGCTTGTATACAATTCTTTCTTCTATTTCTCATTTGTCTCAATGTGGGAAACAAGATAATCAAACTTATAAAATATATCACAAGATAGTTAATGTTGATTACTTTGGGGAAGGGGAAGTTTCTTTTTAACTAATTTTGTTCTTGATACATGAATTACATATTTGAAAAATATGTATATAAGCAAGTGTAGATGATTAGCTAAAAAAATTTCTTTTACTCTGAATTCACACCTAACCATGTGTCACAAAAATGAATGAATAGCCTCTGAATAAGAGCTCAAGGGTCTGTTTATAGAGAATGTTCCTTTTAGTGTATGGTCTTTGTAACATCTATTTTGTCTCTTGTTTAGTGATCTTTGTTTCCTCCAGGATTCTAAATTGTGTTCTAGGTAAATGGCTTCTGAATGAATGAGGTGTTATTATGTATATTTATAATAATAAATTTAGCTATCTTAACAGTATCTCTAGTGTTCAGAAAATTATGTGCATTTAAGATCTAATACAACCATCATTTTATAAGAGAAAGAAGTGATAAGTCATTTAGACAGCTAGTTAGGGACTGATAGGGACTAGGACCCAGGCCTCCTTGCTCTCAGTTCTGTGCTGTTTCCACTCTGCTACATTCATTCTACAAATATTTGAGTGTTAAGAGCTGGGGCATGAGCATTAACAACAGTAAAACTTGCTCCCTGCTCCATAGGGTGGACAGTTGGAAAGGAAAGACAAATACAAATCGGCAGGAAATCACAGCTATGATAATTGAGCAAAGGAGAGGTATACAGTGCAGAGTCTCTTGGCATGCGCAGGGGGCCTCTGCCTGGAATGTTCATTCCTGTATCACATGATTTAACTTCCTCATTTCATATAGATGTCTGCTCAGGTGGCCCCTCGTCAGAGTAGTAGTTCCCAGTAGCTGGAACTACAGGCGCACGCTACCGAGCCCGCCTTGAGCTTTGTTTTCATTGCTCCATCTCCAGTAGTAAGAAGAGTGCCTGACATACATTAGATGCTTCATAGATGTTGGTGAGATGAATGAATAAATATAGCAGGAAGAACTGGTCAGGTCAGGAGGTTTGGAAAAACTTAACTGAGGAAGAGCTGATTGAGCCGAGGTCTGAAAGAATAGTAGGAGTTAAGGAGGAGGAAAGAGGAGAGGCTTGAGCCAAGTGGGAAAGGGCTATGCCTGTTTACTGTCATATCCCCACGCCTGTCAGATATTTGGCACGCCATAAATATTTCTTGAATGAATGAAAAAGTGTCTGAGGCAGAAGGCACATGTGCAGAAGTCACATGGGTGAGGGAGCCTGCTGATTTCTGGGAAGTGAGAGAGGGCCAGTGAACCTTAGTACCAAGAGGAGGGACAGTATAGTGGCCCTGTCATGAAGACTGATTTTGAACTAGAGAGAGCAAAGGGTCAGCTCAGTATTGCCTCACAGTTTATCTTATTGTATTCCCTCCCCCCCGTTTATATTGCATCCCTTGTAAACTTGAAGCGCCTCATTTGCTGTAGAATATAAGTGCAATTTTTTTTCCTGTAGCTGAAATATAATGGCATTAAGGAATAAGTAAATATGACATCACCTGCATCAGTGATCTAACTGAAAACTAAATCTGCCAAGCCACCGTGGCAGTGGGTATCCTCGATTACGATGTTTAGTTCTGAAAAGTTTATCAGTAGTACTCAGCACCATGTAGCCCCTTTACCGTTAATTTATGTTAGCTTTTGTCTTGGTAACTTTCAGACCTACTATAGATTCTTTGAATTTTAACTTTTCTAATAGGGTAACAGACCATATTATGGAAAACAACAACCACAAGTTATTCTCTTAGCCACTGTAGCTACAGAAATACAGGTTATATGGAACTCAGATTTATCACTTATTTATTTACTTAAGTCTAGGTCATTGACTGACTTTGCTTATTAAAGTTATTTCTACTCACATGTGAAAGCATTCAAAATATACTGCTTTTCATGTGTGTGTAGCTTTAGGAACTATATTTCAATTCTAGAGTGCATCTGTTGCTTGTAATAATGCCCTAAAATAGTGATAGCACAGGATTGTTGTACCCATTATCCTTCAGATTGTCTCATGTATAAGAGATTAGAGGAGGAAGCCCAGCCATAGTTTTACAAGCTATTTAAGGATCTACAACAAAATTAATTGATTAAAATCATCAACTACATTTGCAAACTATTTAAAGATTTATAACAAAGTTAAGTGATTAAAATCATCAACCACAGATATCCTTGGACATTTTTTCTTGTCAGCTTTCTGTACGTGGAGGGTGTATGTGCCAGAAGCAGGAGCTGATCGAGAGAGGTTTTCCTGAAGGATGCGACTTCTAAAATCCAGTAAATGTGAGAGTGCAGAGTTTCTCCACACACAGTTTTTTAAAGCCATAATGACCTGTGAAGTAAATATAAACTAATACCTGAGGGATTGTGGTACACATTAGGAATAGAATATGGTGGTGCCAGCCATAGGGCAGAGCTTTCAAAATCAGTGTCACTTTATTTTGCCTTGAAGTTGCCCCAGAAGACTTAATTCTAGGACTGGATAACTCACTTTTAATACATTTGAGGTTTCTTAGCTTCTGGGATTATAGGTGATGTTCAAACTGCTTATGTTAAGACATGATGTTAACTTTGTTTAATTAATTGATATTTCTGTTGGATTTTTTATTTGCTTTGCAGCTTTAATTAGTTTGTCCTTTGGAGGAGCAATTGGGCTGATGTTTTTGATGCTTGGATGCGCCCTTCCAATATACAAGTATGTAAAATTTTTGTCTTTTTGAGCATTTAGGAGTAAAATATTTCTACTTTTAAAGCTTTAAAAAAGCTTTTTTTACTATTGTAGAAGTAATGCAAAGAAATGTTCATTTATCAAACACAAACCATTTTAAAAATCATCATTTAAAATTTGTTTGTAAAGGTTTTAGGGGGCTGAGCATGGTGGCTCATGCCTGTAATCCCAGCACTTTGAGAGGCGGAGGTGAGAGAATTGCTTGAGTCCAAGGTTTCAAGGCCAGTCTGGGCAACCTGGTGAGACCTCCTCTCTACAATAAGTCAAACTAAAAAAAAAAAATTAGCCAGGCATGGTGGCATGCACCTGTGGTTCCAATTACTTGGAACCCTAGGCAGAAGGATCACCTGAACACAGCAGGTCGAGGCTGTGGTGACTGCCGTGAGTATGCCCAGCCTGGGCAACAGAGTGAGACTCCTACTCAATAAAAAATAAATAAATGAAAATAAAGGTTTTAGGACACCAAGATGCAAAAAAAATTGGGGGCTATTACCTGTTCTTTTGCTACTGCTGAGTCTATAGTGGCAGATGGGAACACAATAGCTCAGCCCTTCTGCTCAGTTTTGAACATCTGTTGATAACTACAGGGATATTTCTTTCCTTCCTTCCTTCCTTCCTTCCTTCCTTCCTTGTTGGAGTCTCACTCTGTCATCCAGACTGGAGTGCAGTGGCACACTCCCAGCCACCGCAG